GGTCTGAGAATCAGTTTTTTATTTTGAACCCAACATGTTACTGATTCAACTTTTAGCTTCCATTTGGCTTCCGTTTCTCATTCTCCTTTGGGGGATTATTTTGTGACTTGGAAATTGAATTAGTACTGGTGAATACAAACTAATGCCTGATTATATGCATGTTCCCTCAATAAAGACCAGGACTATTGACCATATTTTTTTTCTATCACTAATTGACAAAGACAGATCTTGTACTAAGGCACACTATTTTAGGGATTTGAAAGAAATTAGTGGATTCTTTAAATGTGGTCTAGTAAAATAACTATATCACTTATAGCTAACAAAAAAAATAAAATAAAAGCAGTGAAAAGTGCTAGATTGGTGTATGCATGCATGGCTGCCATTCTCTTTTTACAGTATTGTCTGCTATTCAACAACAGAGATAATCCATTTCCAGTTCTTTATTATCTGGTTAGTGGTGAATTAGTGTTAATTCAGTTAGGAGCATTTGAGATAAATTGCCAGCTTCTTCTAAGACCATTTGTGAAGTGTTCTCAGGTGGCCAAATTTACTAGTGCGTAATTTAGTTTTAGTTTATACATTTGTATAGGGTTGAACCATTTTCTTCCTGTTGGACCGAGTTTATTAATCAAAGGTGGGACTGGAAATTTAGAAGAGAGAAGCTATTTCACTTCCTTGGTGCTTGAATAGTGCTTTAGCTGTGAGTTGACCAAAGGAGTTGTTGGAAGAAAAATCTGGTCTGATTCCAAGTTGGGAGAAAGACACTGAAAATAAAATGGAGGCAGGCTGCATCTTGGAAAGGAGGTCTCTGTTTATTTGGTAGCCAGAAACTTTAGGGACAGCAGTATGTTTCTGGGGTGGCTGACAAAATAAGGTTGAGGAAGGTGGGCTTTTATGCATTCTTTGGGGTTTTGGGATTGAAATGCTTGTTTGTCGTGAAATGTTTGACGGGTGCCTGTGTGTTTTTTTGGGGGTATTCTAGTTATTGTTGCATGACTCTCATTGTGGCTGGGAGGTCTTGGACTGCTTTCTGCCTTTAAAAACATGGTTCTTCTCTTTTCCTTGAGGGGAAATATAATATTCTGCCTCTTTTAATATTCCTCAAAATATTTCATTCTCATGCGTTGGGGGGGAGGGGGGCTTCCCACAGAGTATTGAGTGGAAAAACCCTACCAGTTAAGATCAGGGGCATCTCATGGTGGACAATTTTCTACAAAATGAGGAAATTAAGCTTGCTAACTTTACAATTGTATCTCATGGCTGGTTATGATATGTTGGGACATCCCAAGCGTTTTGCTTACTCTTTACAAGTCTTCCTTTGTCTATCAGACCACAGAGAGATGGAAAGAATAAAGTGCTTGGAGTCCCAACCTGGTTCCAAATTGTATTAGCAAATATATGGCTCTCTACGGAAAACAATTTTGTTTCCTTCTCTTTCTCCCTTATTCAAAAAGGTCCTCCATTTTAGAAGATATTCAGCAAGAATTTCTTGATAGGTAATACATTAAAGAGATAAAAGTGTTTTTATATCTTTATATGTTTTATTTTCTGGATGATTTAGGACAAATTTTAATAAAACAAATATATTGTGAGTTTTATCAAAAGTATATGGAGTATTTTCTGATATCAAAATAATTAGATACAGTCTATTGGACTGATATTATAAACAAAACACACACACACAAATTTGGATTTGGATTCAGAAATTCTCTTTATTCTAAGTCTTCTTATATTTTGGAGTTTTCTTGAGGGCAACCAAGATATTAAAAATATTCTTCCCTATTACTTTGATTCTGAATATTGTCTAGCAAGCTGTGCATTCTTCCCTATTATTCAACTTTGTTTTGCTCTTTCTTATCAGTTTTCTTTTTATTTCCAGTACATATTTTGTTATAATAAAACACATGAAAAATATAACAGCAATGTTATGGTACATCTGCTTCAGTAAAGACTATGTAGCACATCAGTAAAGCTGTGTACAAAAACATGTCATAGAAGTGATGATGTATGAAGGGAGAAAAATCAACTCTATTAAGGAAAAGAAGTGAAATTCTCATTTCTCTCGGTATCTATCCTGGTGGAATAAACAGAAGAAACAACAAAGAATACAACGAGGAAATACTATCTTGTCCAATGTTGTTAGTTTAGTATACCACCCATACCTAGCAGAACACAACACAATGTTATTTTCAGCACCCAACACAGTCACATGGGAGTCTGGCACCTACAGGTAGCAAATGGCTAAGGTTGAGGCAAACAGCAAAAGAGAAATATTATTTAGGGTGGCTTCAACAACTTGCTAAAGTTTCTGGAGTATGCTCTGAAACCAGCAATTTCTCCACAAAACTCAGTGCCCAGAAAAAGTAGGAAGGTATTACTGGCAGCTAAGATGCCAGACTCGTGGAGGGGAGCATTGATTTCGCTGACCCCGAAGGAGGAAGCTGATCAAGATATATTAACAACTACAGACCAATTTCACTTCTAAACACTGATTATAAAATATTCTCCTCCATTATAGCCAATAGACTAAAACAAGTTTTAAATCTATACATACATGAAGACCAAAACGGATTCTTCCTGACTAAACAGATAAAGAATAATTTAAGAACAGTAATAGATGTCTTAGAATTTTATGAAGCCCACCATGAGAAACAATCCGCACTTATGGTTTTAGACGCAGAAAAGGCATTCGATAATTTAAATTGGCATTTCTTAATTTAAAAAATTTATAATATGAATCTAGGCACCAAATTTGAAAATATCATCACAACAATTTACAATACACAGCAGGCTAATATCTTAATAAATGGGGAGCACACAGGTGCAATAAAAGTAGAAAAAGGAGTTAGACAGGGCTGCCCTCTTTCACCTCTTCTCTTTATATTCGCTCTAGAAACACTCTTAACTCGTATTTGGCAAAATCCAGAAATTAAAGGATTGAAGATTAAAACAGAAGAATACAAATTGCAAGCATTTGCCGATGATAAGGTTTTCTTTTTGGAGGAACCAATAGAAAAAGGATATAAATTGATAAAAGAACTAGAACAATTCGGCGCAGTAGCAGGACTTAAAATCCACAGAAAAAAAACAAAATTAATGACCAAAAACTTAACAGAAGACCAGAAAAAAGAATTAGAGGTAAGTATGGGAATACAGGTAACAAAGAAAGTTAAATATTTAGGAATATGGCTAACACCGCAATGTAAAACACTTAAAGAGAATAACTATGATAAATTGTTGCAACAAGTAAAGAAAGATTTAGAATCATGGAGCAGGTTGCAACTTTCACAGGAAGCAGGATTGCTTCTATCAAAATGAACATTTTATCAAAATTCTTATACCTATTTCAGATAATTCCAATTAAATTGCATAATTTTTTTTTTGAAGAACTAAATAAGATAACACTTAAATTCATCTGGCAAGGAAAGAAACTAGAATCAACGTAAAGGCATTACAGGATCTGAAGAGTAGAGGGGGATTAGCACTTCCAAATTGGGAATTATATTATACAGCAGCTACTTTATTATGGTTAAAAGACTGGGTGAACTTACTTAACAAAAGAACGCTAATATTAGAAGGCCATGATCTGCAGAGAGGTTGGCACACCTTCTTATGGGAAGTGGGGAAACCCAATCAGTCATATTTCCATAGACACCTACTTAGAGATTCACTATTAACCAACTGAAAAAAAGTACGGAAAAAAACATTATTTAAAAGTACCGATTTGGCTATTGACAATGGAGGCAATGGTTCATCCCAATAATTTGGACATTACAAAAATGATCAAATACAAAGACTTATTAGATTTACAAGGAAAATTGAAAACAAGACAAGAACTACAAGAGAGAGGATTTAAAATCGATCAGTGGGTATATCTCCAAATCCATAGTAGATATAAACAAGATAATAAAGATTTCGGAATTTATAACAAACTGCAGCACTTAGATAAAATTTTATTAGGATCAAACAAAAAAAATATAACTAAATTTTACAAATACTTACTGGAAGTAGAACTAGAACAAGAGATAGTCAAAGGAAATATGATAGCTTGGAGCAGGAATGTCGGACGGAGTATTACATTAACAGAATGGGAAAAGATTTGGAACAGAAACAATAAGATCACAAAATCGGCAGCTTATAAAGAAAACGCATACAAAATGTTTTACAGATGGCACCCTCCCCCTTCGAGGTTGGCGAAGATGCACCCCAACACGAGTCCAAAATGCTGGAAATGTAAAAGTATAGATGGAACCTTTTTCCATATGTGGTGGTCATGTAAGGAAACTCAGAAATATTGGCAAAGAGTTAGAAAATGGCTAGAGGAGATAACCAAAGAACAAATTGAATATAAACCAGAGTCCTTCCTATTAGGGATTTTTGACAAACAGTTACCAAAAAAATTGAAGTATTTAATAATACATATCTTAACAGCGGCCAGGCTAGCATTTGCTCAGTGCTGGAAATTACCTCACATACCTACAGAACAGATGAACATCCAGAAAATTTCAGATTGTGCAGAAATGGACAAACTAACCCTAGCCCTAAAAAACAAAGATTCTTCAATATATTTTCTTCAATATATTATAACAACTGGAATTCTTGGTATAAATGGCTAGACCAAAGATAGATCATGTATTATAAGGTATAAAAAAAGAATAGAATAAACTTACTTGAATGTAATCCAAATATAGATATTGATAAGATGTGCGTATATGATACAATTTAAGAAGAAAAGATCTTACAAACTGTCCAAAAAGAAAATGTTTTTAAGTATTCACCTTCCCCTTTTTCCTTTTCTTTCTTTTTCCTTTCCTTTCGTGCTTCTTTCTTTTTTTCTTGCTTTTCTCTGGTTTTGTCATTTGTGTATATGTTGTAGATTTGTTTTTTTTAATTGTAAAATTAATAAAATTTGTTGTTTTTTTTAAAGAAAAAGTAGGAAGCAGAAAATTTTCATCAGTCCTTTGCAGCATACTCTCAGCCAATCTTTTTTTTTAAAATGTTGCACAACAACTTCAAAATGTGTACCTTCACTGTCCTGTTGTGTTCGTCATCGTATGGAGAGCTGTGAAACAGAAATAAGTATTCATTAAAAAGACTAGATTGCAAACAGTTTCAAGTACTACTGCCACCAAACATGTTTAGCATTAAACATTGAATAACATATTGTTGCCCCACATTCTTTTTTTCAGTTTAACTTTTGTCACTGTCCAAAAACCAATTAGATTTCATCGGGCCACCCAAATGTTTACCTCCGTTACCATAGCAGTCCAAAAGAGAGATCTGATTCTAAGGCATGTATCTAATGAGAAGTCCTCAACAAGGGATGATGTCTCTTCCAATGCATAAAATAGCTATATTGCTAAAATATTTTGGCTGCCCTCTAATGCAGAGGTGGCAACAATTGCTGCTTTCCATATGACATGGGAACCACATTGACATCTTGCTTATAGGAAGATATCTTTTATTTTATTTTATTTTATTTTAGATTTTATTGTTTAAAATCTGTATTTTATACAATACAGATTTGTGATTCAATGTCCCAACATTTCAGCTGATAAACAAGAAATCAAATGATAGAAAATAACTTATGGTGAAAGCAACTATAGGGCTATAAGAAACACTTTAGTATAAATCCAGAAACAGGGTGCAAAGTTTGTGTTTGATTCATTTCTAAGAGAAGACAATTTCTGAACTCTCAGTAACTATATCCAATTTGTTTGTTGTTAACAGTTTCAAAATTGTATTACAAAGTATTAAGATCTCATATATGATAGTGATAAAAACCACTAAATATAATTGTATGATTCATTGGATGATGGATACACATCTGAATATCATGTTTATGCATTCAAAGCACCTCAGATCCTTGCTATAATGATCTACTCTGATGTATTTTTAAAAAGCTAGTTCATCAATATAAATTGATTTAAGGGGGAAAATTAAATAAATAACTCTACCCTGGAAGTTAAATCCATAAATATGTTTCTGTACATCTAAAACAGGGAAAGAACCAATTTAGTTACACCAGTTCTTATAACTAGGCATCTACTGTCACCTATTTTTATTCCAACATAATATTGGAAAGAAATTGTGTATTTATAAGCATGAGACTAATCTGTATGTCGAATAGAAGGGTAAATTTCTGGAATCTCAATAGTACGGTGTCAGAGTTGGGGTGTGGGAGAAACCCAGAGGTGATATTCAGCAGGTTCTGACCAGGTTCTGGAGAACCGGTAGCGGAAATTTTGAGTAGTTCAGAGAACCAGCAAATCCCACCCCAGACTGGAGATTTTACAGTATCCTTCCCCCGCCATGCCCACCAAGTCACGCCCACAGAACTGGTAGTATAAAAATGTGAATCCTACCAGTGGAGAAACCAAAAAGAAAAGTCAAATTTGAACAAGCATTCTGGAGAGGAAACCCCCCCCACAGCCCCATGCAATCCTACTGGAGAGGTAATCATGTGACTCAGCATGAGTCTACTGTTTAGAGGGCAGAAGGAACTTCAGAAGTCAGGCTCTGCATGTTTCTCCTCTTTAATGTATGATCCTTAACATGCTATGTTGAGAAATAAAGAATTAGACATATTACCACAATGCCATCTTCAGTACAATCACATCTTTGCAGAGTAAAGTAATGTTTACAGGATCTATCTTTTACACCCTGTCATTCTCTTCCCCCCCAAAGAATATCTTATTTCAGACTTTTGCCCATGTAAAAATGGAAGTAGTCCATTTATGTATACCAGGAACTTGCACCTATTGCTTTGGGATTAATCACAAGACTTCCACTTTATTTATTCTATTATTACATTTATGCATCTTCAAATCAGATGGATCCACAGGAGCTTTGTTTCAACAATTCAATAACAGGAATTTTTAGTATTTAATGACATTTTTTTATCCAGTTCCTCACATAGCTGCTCTCTTCTCTTTCCTAATCTAATCCTAACAATCGTCCAACAAGGCATAAAAGGAAGATGGAGAATATTTCCAACATTTTTTGGGGATGGAGGACAGGGGTGGGATTCTACTGGTTCTGACAAGTTCTATAGAACCCCTTGTTAACTTTCTAAGCAGTTTGCAGAACCAGTAGTTAAAACAAATCCTTTGTTTTTTTCCACCCTTATTACATTCTTGGCAGTATGCCTAGACTTACTATCTCAGAAGGATACTTTCTTGATACTTTCTTAAAGGGGAAATGTTGTTTTAAGCTTTTTACACTGTTGCTGGGAGGAAATGACCATTGCAGCATCCCCATTGTCATGAGAGGCCAGGCAAGGAGAAGCTCCCCTTGACATGAGTGACATCGAGTTGGCCATGCCCACCCAGTCACATGACCGCCAAGCCACACCCACCAACTAAGCCACACCCACAGAATCGGTTGTTAAAAAATTTGAATCCCAACCCTGCTGGAGGATGGTTGTAGCCTATAGTTACATAGTTGAAACTTGGTCAAATGAAACTTAATTCCTATTAGATACTGTACAGGTAATCATTGCTCTATCTCCTCCGGGTTGCTCTATCTCCTCCATTTTCTATCTCATGATCTTTGCTTTGTCCCACCCGTTTTTCACCTACCAACTCAAGTTCCTTCTTCTAACAAAGAAGACTGTAGTACACTACAGCTTAGACTGCAGTATATAAATTAGCCTGCGGAATATTGCTAATTCAATATTTTATACACAACTTTTTAAGTATCTATGGAGATTCTCAGTCATTCAGGTCATGGTTGTCCCAAAGGTGCTTTTTCAAAAGGCAACTGGACTTTCTGTTTTTTCTTTTTGAAGACGTTTTGCTTCTCATCCAAGAAACTCGGAGCTGAAGAAACTTCTTGGATGAGAAGCGAAACAACTTCAAAGAAAAAACAGAAAGTCCAGTTGCCTTTTGAAAAAGCACCTTTGGGATAACCTTTTAAGCTTTTTCAACAGTATATTAAATTTGTATTTTGAGTGATTTTGGACTAGAGGCAACCCTCATTTCGCAACTGCTTCATTTAGCAACTGTTCACTGTAATGTCAATATTGAAAAGGTAATTTTAAGACCAATCCTTACATCGATGACCTTCACAATTCTTTAAAGCAAAGGAAAGCTGAAGATCATAAGCATAGTTGTAGTTTCACTGAGTTGCTGATCCCAATTGTAATTGTTAAATGAGAATTATTTGTATACCTAAGGTAATACATATATCTCAGCAGTAGAAAACTACGGACATCTGAATCTAAAATTCAATAGTGTGTGTGTGTGTGTGTGTGTGTGTGTGTGTGTGTGTGTGTGAGAGAGAGAGAGAGAGAGAGAGAGAGAGAGAGAGAGAATGCTACATTTCATGAAATTATGGAGTTTTTGTTTGTTCTACAATGTCCATAATTGTGGAAAATTGTTTTTTTCCCCAAACAGAACGAAAAACATCCAAAAGTATATCTTTAGCTCAAATTGAAATGTTACAAAGCTAAAGAAGTGGCAACCATAGAGCTAAGAAACAAAGGATTTGTTGCAAGTTTCTTTCAGAAATCTTTAAAAAGTAATCTAACCTATACATTTCCAGCAGAGGTTTATGAGAAAGCAAGCTTAAATGACCTAAACAAACAAACAAACAGAACACATTTTGTTATTCAAATGTAAATAAAGGTAAAAGTTCCCCCTATCCAATTGTATCTGATTCTAGGAGATGGTGCTCATCTCATTTCTTAGCCAAGGCAGCCAGTGTTACCTGAAAACATTTCCCTGGTCATATAGGCAGCATGACATCACATCGCAGTGCAGAGCAGGCGGTGAAACACAGAATACTTATTACCTTCCCACAAAATGGTACCTATTTATCTATTTGCATTTGCATGCTTTCAAACTGCTAGGCGGGCAGGAGCTGGGCAAGAATGGGAGCTTGCCCCATCACGCAGTGTTGGGGTCTCAAATCCGGGCTCTCCACTCTCCAGCTGACAAGCTCAATATCTTTAACTGCTGAGCTATCGTACTCCTCAAATTTAAATAGATTAAATAAATATATCAGTATTTGATTATTCAGTAGTGCTTCATCTGACTTTTTTCTTTTGGTTAATGATTTTATTAACATTAAAAAAAAAAACCAGAACCAACATCTTTGTACTTGCCTAGTGTGTTAGCAGTTTTTCCTCTTTCGTAAAGAAGTCTGCCGTATCTGTCAGCTTTGATTTTACAACCTAGCAAGGGCATTTGCCTTCATGTTTATTTCCAAACCACATTATCTGCATCTTGCAAACAACCCAGACATGCTCAAAATACAATAGAGGTTTTTTTTTAATATAAAAGAGTGATTACTGTGCTAGAAAGTTCATTATCCCCCAGGAACACATTTAGAAATCCCCTTTTAGCAAAACTCAGAAACAAATTAAACTAAAAATGTCAAAAAATGAATTGGCAATCACTCAGCAACATAAACAAGCGCACAGATTTTGGTTTGCTTTCTTCCTCAGGAGGTCTGTATTGTTCAGCCAAAAGGCCAACTTTAAGGGAATGCAACAATGTCTATCTGCAGCAATGTGTGGCTTTGAGAAGTATTCACACTCCTCTTTATGTGTTAGGGAAATGACATACCAGCTGCGTGTTTTATGATTGTTTCGCTTCTACTGGACCCCTTTTTCATTGGAAATAAAAGCAGAGGAAAGCAAAGCAAGCACAAGTGGTCTCTGCAAAAGTCTGTCACATGTGTCTTTCTTGTTGTGGAAGCCTGAGGGTTGATTAAAAACAAAAAGATTTTAAGTTAACTAATTAGAATGTGGGTAACATTAGAAGCTTGGATATCACCTGAACAAATGGACTCTTATTTAGTAAAATGGGTTTAAACCTGATTCACTTGTTTTTTTTACAAATTGATTGATATCCCATAAATTCTAGCCTACTCTAACATTATTCCTATGACCGATGGAGAGCTAATCCTGGACTTGGATTGAGAGCCCCTCAAACCTGTGGGTCCACCTGCCCCTCCTCCATCCTTTTCCCTGAGGTCCCCCTTCCTGCTGCAATATAGCCTGGCAGGAGGATTGCCAATATTTGATTGGCTGTTCCATCACCCACTCATTATACAATG